GTTGCCGGGGGCGGCCAGCAGAACGGAGGCGGCTCCGGCAGCCACGCGGGGCTCCGGGCAGGAGGAGGCTGCGCCGCCCGGCAGCTCCGCAGCCCTTGCCGGGAGCAGGGAGGCGGTTGCATCCCGCTGAACATGCGGTGCTGCTGCCCGGGGCAGGGGTGGGAGCTGGGCTGGAAGCTCAAGCAGGGACAGATCGATCCCTCCGCTTGCAGCGGGGAGGCCTCTTCTCACGGATCACGCCCTTTCCCTGGATGCCTGAGTCAGCTCCGAGCCCCTTCCCAAGTTGCCGCCTTTGGCTGGGTCTCAGCAGCCTCAGCGGGAGGCGCCCCTTTTCCCGGGCGGGGTGAGAGCCAGGGCAGCTCCGAGGAGCCTCTGGGTTCCAGGGCAGCTCCGAGGAGCCTCCGGGATCGGGTGCCCGGAGCCCAGCGAGGCGGCCGCGCGTGCGGATTCTGCGGGAGCAGCTGAGCCCAGCAGGGCCCCTGGGGTCCCCCTCACCCGCGAGGCTAACGCTGAGTCCTCCCAAAGGATCATCATCTCCACCCCGTTTGCCATCCTCTCCTACTTCCTGATATGGTTTGTGCCGGACATCTCCAGCGGCCAAGTGCTGTGGTACCTTGTCTTCTACTGCCTCTTCCAGACGCTGGTGACGGTGAGTTGGGCTCTGCGTGTCCAGGGCTGCTGGGGGAGGCATGGAGAGGGCATCTCCCTGCGTGAAGGGGCAGGCTCCCCTTTCCCCCAGTGTCACACCTTGTCCCAAGGCTGATTGTCCTCCCCGTGCCCTTGCAGTGCTTCCACGTGCCTTACTCGGCGCTGACCATGTTCATCAGCAGCGAGCAGAGCGAGCGGGACTCGGCCACCGCCTACCGTAAGAGCCTTCCTCTGCCTCTCCCCTCTTCCTCCCTGGCTCTTGGATGGCCACTGCTCATCCTGGGGCAGGTTTCCCTTGTGGAGCGGCGTTCCCGGCTCTCGGAGGGCCGTGCTCACTCCTGCTGGCTTCTCCGCCCAGGTATGACGGTGGAAGTGCTGGGCACTGTGCTGGGCACCGCCATCCAGGGCCAGATCGTGGGCAAGGCGGATACTCCCTGCATCCAGAATCCTGTGTTCCTTGGTGACACCAACTCCTCGGTGGCCATGGAGGAGGTGAACATGACGCACGACACCGGCTCGCTCACGGACACGGTGAGCCGAGGGGATCCCCGCTCTGTCCTCCCTGCTGTGGCTCCTCGTCCCCTTGGCAGGGCTGGCTCCAGGGAGGAGCAGCCTCTCTCATTGCTCCCCGTCTCCTCTCGCACAGAAAAACGCCTACATGATTGCAGCGGGGGTCATTGGAGGCCTCTACATCCTCTGCGCCGTGATCCTGTCGCTGGGCGTGCGGGAGAAGAGAGGTGAGTTGGGCTCCAGCTCCGCAGGGACACGAGGACGGAGGGCTGGGGCTGCCCTTGGGGTGACTGAGTCTCCTGGCAAGCGGATCCTCCACCACCGACATTCATTTGTCTGTAAAGAGCAGAAAAAACAAGCAGGGAACGTGTTCCAGGGAAATGTTCTTGGCTCCTTGGGTGGAAAGGAGACCCTGGGGCTGCTTTATAGTTTCATCTGTCTCCAGACTGAGCTATTGCAAGCTATTAAGCCCTGCAATGTGCAGAAATACTTCGGGCCCCTGGAAATGCCGTGGCACCTGCCAGGGGCATCGCTATGAGCACACGTGAACCCTCCTGCTCCTTGGGGAGCAGCATGCAGGGCAGGGAAGGCTTTGCAGAAGGGCAGCGTTGTGGGAAGGACACAACTGGAGAGTTTGAGCAAAACACAGCCCCAAAGACTTATCTGCCTTATCGGTCTCTCGGAGATAAACGTTATCTAGCCCAGGCCTGGCTGGCAAAGTCTCCAGTGCCAGCCTGGACACCCCGGGATGCAGGGTGATGTCCAAAGTCCAGCAGTGTGTCCTTCCCTCCCTCTGCTTTGTGGCCAGCTCTGCTCGTGCCAGGCAAATCCCCTAGGCCCTTCCTTCCCCCTCTGTGTCAGGCAGAGGGACCCCGGGCCCTGGGGTGGGTGCTCTGGAGGCACCCAGTGCTGCACGCCAGGCCGGTGTTTCTGCTGCTCTGACGATGCTCTGATTCTCTCTGCACCCCAGAGGCCTCGGAGCTGCAGTCGGACGAGCCCGTCTCTTTTTTCCGGGGGCTGAAGCTGGTGATGAACCACGGTGCCTACATCAAGCTCATCACCGGCTTCCTCTTCACCTCGCTGGCCTTCATGGTAAGGCCACGGCTGGGCTTGGAGGGTGAGGGGGGACAGCGGTGCTTGATGGCCGGGCTACGAGCAGCACGGGACCCAGACAGGGACCCTGGCAAGCCCGCAGCGTGCACGGTGCCCGGCTGAAGAGCCGGAGGAGCCCTGGGAGCAGAGGGAATGCGCGGCCTCGTGCCTGCGGATGCGTTGGGGAATGGCTCTGGGCTCAAGCAGAGCGTGCCCACATCGGGGCCGGTGTCCCAGGGTGTCCCTCTCCCCTCACTAACCTGCCCTCTGCCTCTTCCTCAGCTGCTGGAGGGCAACTTTGCCCTGTTCTGCACCTACACGTTGGGCTTCCGCAACGAGTTCCAGAACATCCTCCTGGCCATCATGGTGCGTCTGGGCTCCTGTGACCACGGGGACTGGGATGACACTTCAGTGACATGCGGGAGCCTGGGATCTGCCCCGGGATGGGTGCTTGAGGCGAGGGAGGCTGTGGGGACAGTGACCAAAGGTGCCCCAGGAGATGGGGATGGGGGAAGGAGCTCCTGAAACTCCTGCAGGGGCCTTGGCCGGCTGCTGAGAACAGCGAGGCTTTTGTTCCCATGCGAAGGCGGCCAAGGAAGGGGGGAGAACAGGAGCTGTGGGGGCCTTTTGTCCAAATCCTGCCACTTATCTCCCTTCCCCCCCGGAGAAAAGGATGCCAGGGTTTATTGCCAGGAGGATGGAGTAAAACAGCTCCCTTTCCACCCTGCCTGATGGGGTGGAGGAGAGCGCCCTGGGACAAGGCAGCCTTCCTGTCCTCCTGCCCCTGTTGCTGCATTGGAGCAGAGGGAGGGGACAGTCACCCAGCTCCATCCGTCCCCCAGGTGCTGGAGGGCGCTGAGCAGCCCCTGGCTCTCCCTGCACCGTGTTCGCATGTTTGTGCCACCAACAGGCCCCTTCCTGGCTCTGGGAAGCAGGGACAAGGATTCGCCCCCGCGCAGCCGGACAGGCACCGGCACCGGGGGAGGAGGTGGCTCCACGGAGCCGCTCCAATCCGAGCTCCCTTCCCGGGAGCGCTGGGATGAGGGAGGCTGGCGTAGGCAGCGAGGCCGCGTGCCAGCCCTGGAGCGTGTGGAAATCGGAGGGCTGGGGCTCTCTGCCACCCTGACCATTCCCCTCTGGCAGTGGTTTCTCACCCGCTTTGGGAAGAAGACTGCGGTCTACGTGGGCATCTCGGTGAGTGGGTCCTCTTGGGAGGAAGGCGCGCGGCAGGATGGCTTCCTGCATGGGGCAAGCAGATCCGTGTCCTCAGAGAGGGACCAGAGCTGCCTGATCTGGCATCTGTCCTTCTTCCTGCCTTTTGTGCTATTGCAAACGCGGCCGCAGAGGAAGCGGCGTCCCCCATCCTGGAAATGGCTCCTGGGGGCTCCGGGAGGAAGCCGGCACCTTCCTGAGCACTGGCGAGAGTGGGAGGGAATGGGGAAGGGCCAGGGGTGTCCGACTCGGCACTGCTCAGATTAACGGTGGCTTCTGTCCCCTTTGCAGTCTGCCATCCCCTTCCTCATCATGGTGGTTGTCCTGGACAGTAACCTCATCGTCACCTACATCGTGGCCGTTGCAGCTGGCATCAGCGTTGCAGCTGCCTTCCTCCTGCCCTGGTGAGTGCAAGGTCTCCATGTCACCTGCACCTCTTGGCTCAGCCTGGAGTCCTTGTGAGGCCTTTTTGCCATGTTTCAGCCCAAGGTGGGCACCTGGGTGGTAAATCCTCCAGGAGAGGCAGGAGGATATGCTGCTGCATGGGCTTGGTCCACACGTTCACCTTCCCCGTCTCCGTGCAGGTCCATGCTCCCGGATGTCATAGACGACTTCAAGCTGCAGCACCCCGACTCCCGTGGCCATGAAGCCATCTTCTTCTCCTTCTACGTCTTCTTCACCAAGTTCGCCTCTGGGGTCTCCCTGGGCATCTCCACGCTCAGTTTAGAGTGAGTCCTTGCCAGGAATGCGGGAGCCAAGCCAGTCTATGCCTCTGCATCCAGGAGACTTTGTAGGTTTAGAGCAGAGGAAAACAACCTTTTTCCAAGGGGAAAACACTGCTTGTACAAACTTGCCTGTCCTTAGACCATGCAAGGTGCCTTCCTCATGTTCAGGGCATGGGCATCGCTGAGGTACCAGATCTTGCTGCTTTGCAGCTCTGGGCTAGAAACTGTGATGCTGCTGTGGCTTAGGGCACCTTGGAGGCAAAGCCCTGTCCTATAGCGAGTGCTCCTTCCCCAGGAGAGCTCCTGCGATGTGGGGCAGGAGGTGCTGGTTGGTACTGCCCTTCCTTGAAGGCTCTTCTCTGTCCGTAGCTTCGCAGGGTACCAGACCCGGGGCTGTTCCCAGCCCAGCAAGGTGAATTTCACCCTGAAGATGCTGGTGTCGGCTGTGCCCGTGGTGCTGATCCTGCTGGGCCTGCTCCTGTTCAAGCTCTACCCCATCGATGAGGAGAAGCGGAGGAAGAACAAGAAGGCTCTGCAGGACTTAAGGTGAGCATCGCTGTGCCAGGGAGCCGCAAAGTGCGGAGCACGGGCAGGTGCATGGGGCAGGATCAGCCCTGGGCTGGTTGGAGCACAGCCCGGTGTGTGCAGGGACCTGCAAGGACCTGTGGGAGGCAGGCAGGTGGAGAGGCTCCCTTTCCCAATCCTGTCTTCAGAAATAATGGCGTGAGGTATGAGGTGACAGCGGGGAACCTGCCCTGAGGTCAGGGAACACGTGCAAGGACCGAGCAAGGTGGCAACACTCTCCTGAGGCTCAAAGGCAGAAATTCCCTCTTGGCTGTGGAGCCAGATGCAGGGGAAAGGTTGGTTTTATGCTTCCTCCTTTGCCCCTAGGGAGGAGAGCAACAGCAGCTCTGAGTCGGAAAACACAGAACTCGCCAGGATCGTGTGACCCCGGGTGGGTCCCTCCGTTTACACCTGGGGCTTTTCCAAGGAGCCGACCGGAGCTGGAGCAGCCTCGTGCTGCTGTGGGCATGCACGGCCGAGGAGCGCCCAGAGGAGCCATCCAGAGCACCCACCATCGCCTCCAACACGAGATCTGTGCCGGTCTCGTGCCTTCCATGGGATCCACAGAGCGCTGGTAGTGTACATTACACGAATTGACCCTGTCTGCGGTACTCGTGTGCCTCACGAGAGAGAAAAAACTACTCCCTGCCAGGCTCCGGAGAGCAGCAAAGCCCAGACGTGGGATCCTTTTGCTCGTGACGCTTGTGCCCGCTGCCCGCGTGGGCCGGCCTGTGCCGCGCTGCCTCGTGGCTCACCTGCGGGACAGGGGATAAAGGTTAGTGTACATTACACTGTCAATGCGAACACGCCGAGGACGTGAGCTAACCTCTGCTGTCTGCACAGAAGACACTAATTTAGAAAGCTGTCCTGTTTTTATAGCGCCTCATCGATTAACTTAATGTAAATATGAAGCTGTTTCTTATTTGTATATGTCTGTACAGAAACCAAACTCGAGGACCTATTAATATTAATTTACATAAAGTCAGCAGAGCTGGTGTGGGGAGTTTCTTTGTCTCGCTGTTTCCCGGGGGATGTCGGCACACCGGAGCCAGGGTCCCTCCACACGCCGTGGGCCTGACTTCCCGCAAGCCGAAGGTGCTGGAATGCCGTAATCCAGGCAGGCGGCGGCAGCCCCTCGCCCCGTGCGGCTCCCTGCGCCGCGGCAGCCCAACAAAGGCTCTATTATTTCCTCCCTTTCAAGAAGGGAGGGCGGTGGAGGGAGGAATGAAATGAAAGTGCTGGTGACGAGGCTGAGACCAGCACTGGAAACAGGAGAGGCAGCTGGGGAGCAGAGGGAGAGGGAATGCAGGATGCGTGTGACACTTGGCGCTATCTCCCTTGCAAGAGCTAATCTTTGCAAGGGCTCTCATGGAGGCTGGGGATATTTATACCTTGCTCTCGCATTCCCCTCTCTAAAGCAGAAGTGGTGAAAGCTTTGCCCTCGCAAAGGGCAGTGCAATCCTGCAGCAAGTGTAATGGAGAGGGGCACAGGAGTGATACCGCGGAGGTAAATACCTCGGGCAAATACTCGCAGGGTGAAGGGAGCACAGGGGCTCTGCTCTGTCCTCTCCTCACAGCCACCTCCTTCTGTTAACCCGGGAAGAGGTTAGTGGAGTCGGGGCTTGAGGTAAGAGCAGCCCCTCTGCATCGGGGGCACCTGGGGAGGAGCAGCTCACGAACCCGAATGTGGGGGGAAAGGGAAGGATTTCCTTTTGTGATTTCCTTTTGAATGTGTGGGGAAGGATGGAGGGGGTAAAAAGAGCAAGAGGGATTAATTAGGCCTTAGCTAGGAATGCTCACACAGGCCTTCACGCAGGTGGGAAGGAACAAGGGGGCTGCAAAGGAGAAGGGAGGGATGATCCTGCAGCACTGAGGGATGTGGGCGCAGGGAGGCTGGGGCAAGAGATGGAGTCAGCCAGAGCCCTGGAGCTCTCTGCTCTCCCAGGGCCAGGATGGGGCTTGCAGAGGGACCGAGGCGCTGGGTCCGCGCACCAGCCAAATCAGGGACCTGCAGCAGAGCAGGCAGCGTGGCCACGTGCCCCCTTGGCAAGCGAAGGAGGAGGAGGAGGGCAGCGCGTCAGCTCCAGCCACGCACAGAGCTCCATGTGGCAAACGAACTAACCCTGGCCCTGCTTGTGAGCAGGCAGCTCGCTCACCCCTGCAGTCTGCCTGATTCTGATTTTATGAAAAACTGCTGCTGCCTTTTTTGTCTGGTTCTTGCTTTATTCTTCGCCTCCTCTTTTCAGGCTGCGTGGGGCTCATGCAGAGCCTGTGTTCAGGCTTTCTGCACTAAGCTCAAGAGACTAAAAGCACACAGTGCGTTTGAAGCTGCGCCCAGAAATTCCTAGCCGAACACACCTCCATCTGAGGCTTTAAAAAATAAGGATGGGGAAAAAAATGACCCTAGGAGTTAACACCCCTGAGTCCTGGGCAAAACTCCAGCCTCTAAGCAAAGCTCATGTCTAGCAGATGTGATTATAGAGGGTTTCCAGCCTAAGTACAGAGAGAAAGGGAGCCCAAGATGTGAGGAAAGGCTCCCTGGCACAGCAGACTTTCCCGGCCTGTGCTGCGTGGGGCAATGTGGCCATGACAGCTGCTGGCCTTGAGCAGCTCTCCGAACACACCTCCATCTGAGGCTTTAAAAAATAAGGATGGGGAAAAAAATGACCCTAGGAGTTAACACCCCTGAGTCCTGGGCAAAACTCCAGCCTCTAAGCAAAGCTCATGTCTAGCAGATGTGATTATAGAGGGTTTCCAGCCTAAGTACAGAGAGAAAGGGAGCCCAGGATGCGAGGAAAGGCTCCCTGGCACGGCAGACTTTCCCGGCCTGTGCTGCATGGGGCGATGTGGCCGTGACAGCTGCTGGCCTTGAGCAGCTCTTGTCTTTACTTGCACTCACTTCATGACAAAGGCAGTGCCCCAAAAGGCTGGGAAATGCCTCTCTCCAGCGCCGGAGCCTCGTCGCAGCCGTGTCCTCCAGGCTGGGCGAGCGAGCCCTCTGCGGAGCTGATGGACAGATGGAGCAGAGCCTGGGAAAGGCAAGTCAGAAGGGGGAAAATGCTGGGGGCAGCTGCCTGCGCTGCACCTGCTGAGCCCTTGCCGTTAGTGGCACACGTGCTGGGGCTGTGCAGCGCCCACGCCGTACGGGGGTGCAGGGAATTGGCCCCATTCCCAGCCAAGGGCCAAGGAAAGGCTGCTTGGGGCCCCCACCTCCACACCGGCCTAGCTGGAATCCACAGGACGGGACCTGCTTCTCCCGGGGGGTTTGTCCAGGGCATCCTGGGGTTTGAGCTCACCTGCAGCAGCTCCTGCTTTCACATCCCCTCTGTCAGCCCAGGCACCTGTGGGCAAGAGGCAGGCAGAGACCTTCAGCACAGCCACAACAAGGGACAAAACCCAAACAAACGTCAGGCATGGCCAGGCCTCCAGGGAGGGCAGCACGGGAACCTGCCGAATAGGAACTGCATCCTCTGCATCCCCTTGGATGCCACCCTTGCCAGACACATGGACGCCCTCCGTGACAAAGGGGACGGACAGAACTGGTGTTTCCAGACAAACTGGAAAGAGCAGAGCAAGGGCACCAGCCACAGTTTACCCAAGGAGGATAAGTGGAAGTGTGAAAAGTCTTTCCTTGCGGAGGGCAGGGACTAACGGCCCTCTTTATCCGCAGGAAAAGGGCAAAGAGCTACAGGCTTATCTCTCAGCGAGAGATTTATGGAACTTTCAAACAGCTGCTGGTGGGGGACAGTTTTCCCTCAGCCTCTGGGCTGGAAGGGCCCATGAGCCCTGAGCTGCCCGGGAAGCAGCAGAAAGCCCTGGGTTCTGTTTTCCTGGTTGCTTCGAGCTGCAGCGAGCACAGGGAGGGCAGTGAAACGGTGGCAGCTGCACTGAGCAGGGACATCCAGCGGAGCCGTTCCCGGGTTCTGCCCGACCCAGGGTCACCTCGGCTGTGTCACCCAGTTGAGGTCACTCACCTGCTCTGCAAACAGGCACCGAGGTGACCGGCCTGCTTCGGTGGCCCTTAGTTAATGTTTTCCAGCACTGCTACTTACGCGGCCACTGCACTTCTGTACATGGCCAGAAATGCGGCGCCGAGATGAGAGATCCTGTTAGAAAACAAAGCAAAAAAATACAACAATAGTAAATAAACTTTCCTCAGGACTGAAGCTATAAATTGCTTTACTGGCAAATGAACTGCTGAAGCGGGGTCAAGGCTCGGACTTGGGTCTAATCAATGGCAGTTGAGGGAGGTGGCTGAAGAGCAGGGCTGGCTCTGCCCTGCCTGCCTGGGCGGGTTGCGCTGCTGTGCAGAAGGAACAAGTGCTCTCTGTCACAGCCGGCCTAAGAGAGCCACCTAAGGGCCACAACTGCAATGCATTTCATGGCTAGGAGGAAACACTTGAAAATCTACCCCGCGGGGCAGAGCTCACTGCAAACAGCGCGACGGGGCTGAGGGCAGGGCTCGGATGGAAACCCCCAGCGCTCTGTCCTGCCGGATAGGGTGACACGCACGTGTCCCCAGGAGGAGAGGCAGACAAGGCACTGCCCCGCCAGCCACCAGCTTCCTCCTGGACACGGGGTGCTGCTTCGGCCGCACGCGGGTTTACGGCCACTCCGATCCCCTGCCAGATCGGAGCAGATCCCAGCCGGGCAGCGCTGGGGTGACTCAATCTTACCAGGATCTCGATCTTTGCTCCTCCAGGAACAACGTTCAGCCCCACAGTCACACCCCAAAGCAAACACGCCACAGGCTGGGGCTACCTCGCGATGTCCCCAGGGCCCGACTGCTGGGAAATTTTCTTCCTCCCCCAACATCTTTGGTTATTTCTAGTTCCTCTCCCCCGTTTTAGTTCCTCTTCACGCAAGCAGCCCGGGAGGACGGCTGCTATCTGCGCTGCCCACCAGGATCACTGCCTACGTATCAGCAAAGCAGCATCTCCTAGGCAGAACACAGCTCGTGTTTTATTGCTGCCACCATGGGCCTGGCCTGGCATGAGCAGCCCATGTGGGAACAGATTACAGACCCTAGACTTCCCTCTGGGCTCCCACCCAGTACGAACATGTTCTCCCGAGCAGGTTGGGATCAGACCTATCTGCAGGATACTGTAGAGCACGCCTGAGCATTTTCTGAGCTGTAGGATGCTCAGAAAAGAGGTGGCTGCATCTTCTATTTCATATCATGTTAGCGGTGGGTGCCAGAGGAGTCTCATCATGATGCAGCCAGAGAGACAGAGAGAGCACGAGGCTGAAAGACATTGGCATGGTGGAACATGGAGCAAGAAAAACCAGGAATGCATCAGTGATGAGCAGGAGCCCCCTTACACAGAGCACCCGGGACAGTGGGAACAGCATCTCTGGCTGTTGGGCAGAGCATCCCAGTGACTGCAGAGGAGCTGCTCTTGCCTCCACCACCAGCTTCAGCCTAACGAGGCAGGGAAATAGGAGGGCAGCGGCTCCGATCTCAGAGGCTACTCAGCTCCAAGGAACCCGCCAAGGCGGCTGGCCAGGAGCCCAGGGGCTGCGCTGGGGAGGAGGGCGCTAGGAGGGCTGCAGCCCCCACCAGCAGCACACGGGGTTCCCAGCAGCTTGCTGCTCGCCCTCGGAGTCCAGGAAAACAAAGCCTTAGGGGCTTTAATGCCTCCTAGACGTGCAGGGAGCACAAAGCTGGCAGGACAACCTCACTAGAGGTCAGCAGAGCCTCGCTCCGCAGCTCCCCATCCCGCAGGCAATTCCCAGCCGCTCAGCCCCCTGCCAGGGACCCCGGACGGAGCCCAGACGCTGGTTCCGCTCCCGAGCTCTGAGGCAACAGGCGGTGACTCGTCCGCAGCTCCCGCTTGGCTGCGCGGCTGTTGCGCTGCTGCGGCAGACGTTACCATCTATGGTAGCAGAGCGGAGGCAGGAAGCGAGGGTAAAGTCACCAGACCTGCCGGGGTTTTCTCCTCCTCCCCATCCTGTCCTTGGGCCCTGGCCTTTGCAGGGCGAGGTGCTCGGTCTGGTTTTCCCTGCAGATCCTGCGCTCAGAGGGCCACGTTACCTCCCGCTTCTGAGGCCACCTGAGTAGCGGATCTGCAAAGACAGAGAAAAGCTCCAAGACA